GATGAGTAAGTTCAAGAGAAAGGATGCATGATGCCTTTTGGAAAAAATAGTAAAATTTGTATTATATTCATTTTGGGCCAAGTTTGTGACTTAATAGATTAAGAATTGTATTAAGTTAGTGAGAAGTGACTTAATAAAGTTACAGAACATGTTTCCACCTTTGCGTGGATATAAAGAACATCGAACAGAGTAAGAAACGAAGAAGATATGAAGGATAGAATTTGGGACAAAATGTCCCAAGGCTAGAATGCAATCAATCAAGGGACTGTTGTAAAGCAGTTTGTGTAGTGTGTTAACTATACGCCTGCAACACGGCGAGAGGTAAAAGTGGTTCATACGTATCCTCATTCGTAAGAGAGAACGGGCAATGAAATTTGCTCCGCGGTGCAGTGTATGTGCACTACGACCCGGTGGCCAAAGTAGGATGCCCTGGAGAAAGAGTACCATGGTGTGACATGAAAACGAGCATCCAAATGAATGAGGTAAAATGGTCACCATGATGAGGTTTTGTTGGGTGTGTCAAACCCAAGAAATAATAAGGTTACAATAGACTCCAAATACACCTGCTATAATGCACTAAAAATAGTAGAACATCATAAGTAGGTTCGAACCATAGAGACACGGGATAAAAGTCTATACCACTTTGCACAAGATACTTTGGTCACAAAAGGGGTTGTTGTTAGCAATTTCACTTAACATTGCAAAAGTTAAATAGTAAAAATAACAATCTACTTTGAAAACATGCAAAAAATGAAATAGATTTGTAAACAACATGTTGAAATGGTTCTAGTTCTAGTTCTCAATGTTGTTGTTTAACTTGATTATGATTTGATGTAATTCATGATTGTAATTCTAAGTTGGTACTGAAAGATATTAACACGCTCTGATACCTCTCGCTTACCAAATTATCAAACTAAAACACACTCTTTGACTATAGCTAGCTTTACCAATTTAACCTAAACAAGATCTTAGATTGTATTGAAAAACTGCATTAAGTTTTGAACAAGCTTTCCAACAATGTTCATTTCTTCTTATACGCTCGGAAGTGTGAAAACATGTGATATATGATCTAAGATAATAAAACCTATTGTTTGTTACCAATCATTAACTTTATAGAACGATTAGGTGCCTTAAAAGTTAATTAACTACAACTAAAAAAACAATTCAATTCATATAAATGCCCAATCAAACACAAATCAAATTCAACGATTCCAGTTTAAACAAGAACATAATCACTAGAATAAAATCATAAACCAAATATGAAGCCATATACTTCAAGTCAAGAAATCAACACGTTTTGAATAGGAACTAGATATTAGGGTTTTTAGCCACATATAGCTAAAAACAAATCAAACAAAAAGATGGAATTGAAAATGTCTAATACTTACAAATTGAAATTACTTGTTTTTGCAACGATTTGATCTCTTCAAAAACCTCTAAAAAACGCCCACATAGCTCCAAAAACCGCTCTCTGAATAATGAGCCAAAAAAACCTACATTTTAGCACAAGATCCTAACTTCCAATATTAAAAAATGCACGATCATGCCCGTGACCATGAGTTTTTTAACATACCGTGAGTTTTGAACGCGCTTTTTGCCTGCGCTTTTTGCGAGAACGTGCTATTTGATGACACTTTTTGCTGATACTTCAGTTGACCTATGATCTTCATTATGCCTTCATTTTATCTTTAACTAAAGGTATGTTGCTCAAATATAATATGTGATAAAAAGGAAAAACACGACCCATGTCTATGTGACATGGGTCGTGGTTCAAACATGGTCATTTGCTATAATGAAATGCAATGACTCGGGTTGTGCCTTCAAGTTCTCTTCCACAACATGATTGTAACGTCCAAGTTTTTGGTAAGTTCCCTTTTGGTCCCTAGTGTAAAATCCCATTCATATTAGTCCCTTGGTTAGTATACGGGGCATACTCATTGAGTATGCTTAGCGTACTAGCCACATCTTGGTTGCGGATCATTAACCACGCACGTTGGACGTATGTGGTGTACGCATGGTGTACTCATGTCTGAAGAAAACCCTAGTTTTTAGGGTTTTCACCCTATTTAAGGACCTTAAGTCTCCTACTTCCCTTACCTTTTCAGCCTCCATTTCCGTTGAAGTGCAAATCTTGAACCCTAAGCCACCTTAGTGCATTTGTGAGCTTCTTAAGTAATTTTTGGTGTTCTTTAGAGCTTTTGAAGAAGAATGAAGCTTCAGAAGAAGTAAGGACGTTGGAAAATCTTGTAGATCCAGATGTTTGGCACCATTTCTGACCCATTGAAGGTATAAAGCTTTAACTTTGACCATTACATGCTTAGATCTAGTTTTAGGGTGGAAAATGTCATCTTTTGGTCTCATAGTTTGGATTCTATGAGTTAAGGAACTTCAAACCATATGACCTGTCCTTTTGAGCTCTTAGAGGTGTTTTGAGTCATAAAAATCGGATCTTGATGGTTAAGCCTGAACCATGCAAGTGTTAGGGACCAACCAAGTGTGCTTATGGACTTGATTCATGTTTTGAGTCCCATCCTTTCATGGAAAAGCATAAAGTTTTCACCTTTATGGCTTAGGACGTTTCTAGGGGTCTGGATCTAAGTTTTCGACGTAAGGTTTACCCAACACCAGAACCAGCAACGTTGATTGAGTGAATAAAGAAGAAGGAAGTCATTGGAAGAATTTCTTACCTTCATCAACAACCGTTAAGAAGAAGGCAGAGCAGCGAGATTGTGGCCACCAATCATCTATCGATTGGAGTAGAAAAAACATCACAACAAATAACCCTGAATCCAACTTACCCCTCCTTAAATTAATCCTTATAGATGTAGCTCCCGTTCGTCGGCGACACCCATCACAACAAATATCGTCTGACTACAACACCAGCTTCCACCCTCTCTTCTATTTCCATATTTCCTGTGTCTTCCGCGTACCTCAAGAACAACATAACACCTCCGTGTGGCTCTACCTTGTATGTCTCGCACAACATAAAATAGGAACATCATCAAACCCCCAACCATCGCACCACCATTGTTCAACCACCTCCGCCTTTCCATTCCGATATGTTTTTTAAAGTTTGATTTTGTCTATCTTCCTAATCAGGTCCGTTGGTGATGCTGCACACGAAATCGAACATATAGGTGAGAGGTTTAGGCGGTAGAGGTAGCAGTAGTGGTGAGATGCTTCGACGGTGCTCTGCATAGTAGTGTCGATCTTAATAGGTAAGTCAGACAAAAACCCTTGGAAAGTAAGAAAAAACTTTGTGGAGCACATCTAAAGTAACCCGATGATGGGAAATCCAGGAGCATTGGTAGCGGAGAAGGGATAAAGGGGGTGATCGTGTTGAACGATGTTGTTTAGGGTAGTGAGGTTGGTCGTTCTTTGATGATGGTGATGTTGTGGCGAAGCAGATGATTATGTGGTGGAGGTAGTGAGAGAAAACGAAATAGATGAGATAAGGTGGTGGAGAAGAGCCGGTGGGAGTAGGTTGATGACTACCAAATGAACCTTGACAATGTACTTTGGGAGAACATTAAATACCAAACAAAACGACCTTGTCAATTGAAGACTGAATAAACCTTACAATCGATGGAGGCAATGGTAGATTCTTATTAGAAAAGAAAGGAGGTGGGGAAGTTGGTAGTATTTTAGGAATAGAGTGAGAGAATAGCGGTGTAACCTTGAAAAGGGAACAAATAGATCTGGTGAGGGCACTACATGTAAAAGGACGCTCTCAAACCAAGGACATGAATAAAGGGGATAATGGAAAAATATTATGAAAGAAACAAAAACAAAATTGACAGATAGAAACGGATCAATGTTCATAAAGAGAGGTCTCATTTCATATATATATAATTCTATTATCTATGTGACTATCATTGAAGAATTTACTTTCTTCAATCATATTTATTATACTTAAACCCTTATATACGGGCACAATTATGGGTGCAAACAAGTCGAGCCAATCCCAAACCTAATCAGGATCGACTTGGGCTCGTTGAAGTTATACAAGGTTCAAGCTCGAGCTCGACTTGATTCGAGCTTTTTGTATTGAGCTTGGCTCAAGCTCATAAAGAATTATACAACCTCAGCTCGTTTTTCATCTAGCATGCATCCATAAATTTATCATCGAAGAATTTACTTTCTTCAATCATATTTATTATATTTAAACCCTTATATACGAGTACAATTAGGGGTGTAAACAAGTCGAGCCAATCCCAAACCTGATCTGGCTTGACTCGGGCCCGTTGAAGTTATGCAAGGTTCGAGCTCGAGCTCGACTTGATTCATGCTTTTTTGTAGTGAGGTTGGCTCAAGCTCATAAAGAATTATACAACCTCAACTCGATTTTCATCTAACATGCATAAATAAACTAAAACCTATTTACTAATACCCTAAATCCCTAATTCCCCAAATATTTGTTTATTTTAATATATATAAAAACAATAATAAATTATATTATACATAGAGTCGTTTAGGCTTGCGGGCCTAATTTAGTTTAGTGACATAGGCTCCAGCTCGAGCACATTTAATAAACGAGCTTAATATTAAGCTCGAGCTCAGCTTGGACTCATTTAAAATTGGTTTCAATTTGAGCTTTTAACGAGGCGATCACGAATAACTCACAAGTAGCTTGGCTCGTTTTCACCCCTTGGTATAATAATTTTCAATGATTAATATATGATTTTTTAATTATATTAAAGAGGGTTAATACATTAAAAACCATTATTATACATCTTCGTTTTGATTTAACCCCAATGTTTTTTTGTTACTTATTTTCCACCATTAAAGAGATGACATTCCATTTATTAAACCTATCCCAGTTACCAACCGATAATCAAGTCCTTGTCGGTTGCCTCTTTTCACTTGAGTACTAATTCTTAGGAATATGCACAGTAGCCACCACCTTTATCAAAACGACTGACTAACAAAAGGTTTTCCATATACGATCATCATCAAAATAGGGTTTTGGAAGTGGGTTTTTGAAAGTTTTCAAGGGCTTGATGTCAGAATCATCACGAAGAAGGAAGAGTAAAGAATCAAAGACGACAAAGAAAACAAAGTTGAGATACGTACGTGATGAAGAGTTCGATGATGATCTTCTTGACTTAGGATTGTTGGATGTTGAACCAGATAAATTCAATCCTACGTCTAACTTGTGTGACGACCCTTGTCTTAACATTTTATATGATCATAAAATGTTAAAGAATAATCAATTTGAAGGGGACGATGAAGCTGATGTTGAAGATATCCACTAGGTAGAGCATGAGCATGAACAACTTGAAGATGAAAATGACCTGGAAGTGGGTGTCGAGTTCAGGGTGCATGATCCTACCATCAAGTGGAACCAAATGAAGCCTACAGTTGGTGAGTTATACGAGTCTCCTTCTCAGTTAAGGTTTGCACTAATGAACTATGTTGTAGGTAATGGATACCAATTTTGGTTCATGAAAAGTGATAAAAGCAAGGTAATTGTTAGGTGTGGGAGAAAAACGCAAAAAACCATGTCCTTTTAGGATCCATGCTTCATGAAAGTATAACGAACGTACTTTTCAGAAAAAAAAAATCTATGGTTATAACACATATTTGTGCAAGGAATTATAATTTTAGACATTTGGTTAGTTCGAATTGGTTAGTAAAACACTACATTAAGGATATAATTAGGAAGCCCAAAATGACATTGCCTGAGATGATGGAGGATTCCTTACAAAATACTCTGTGAAGGTGTCAAATGGTCAATGTCATAGAGTAATGGTAAGGGCAAGTGAAATGATAGAAGGTAAACTAGATTAACACTATGCTAATGTGTGGGATTATGCCAATGAAATCCTTAGATCTAACCCTGTAAGTACATGCAAAGTAGGAATGTCAGTAAATCCAGATGGGATGAATTATTTTCAATGTTTTTATGTATGTTTTAAGGCATTGAAAGATGGATGGAATATAGGGTGCTGACGTGTGATTGGATTTAATGGATGTTTCCTAAAGGGACAAATCAAAGGGGAGACTTTGACTGCTATTGGAAAAGATGCTGATAATCACGTGTATCCAATTGCATGGGCTATAGTAAATGTAGAGAACAAAGAAAATTAGACTTGGTTTTTACAGTTTTGGTTGATGAGTTGGGTGTTGAGGGTAGAAGGGGTCTAGTTGTCATTTCAGATCAACAAAAGGTAAACGTAAATACTATACAAAATTTGTTATGTATTCATTATATTGTCTAACCAATATTAATGTTTTATTTACTTGTTTCAGGGGCTTCTAGAATTTTTGAAAGCTATCCTTCAACATGTTGAACATAGGAAGTGTGCACGCCAACTTGAAGAAGAGGCATATAGGTTTAGAGTTGAAGAACTTGTTCTGGGCTGCTACAAATAGTTCACATGAAGGGGATTTTGTGGCTAACATGGAAAGAATTAAGAAAATCACCTCAAATGGATATACTTGGTTGATGTCTAACAATACACAATCATGGTGTATGGCATTTTTTGCACAACGGTATGCATGTGAGGCATTGGAAAATGGAGTTTCTGAGTCCTTTAACTCCATGATCATAAATATTAGGAAAAACCCACTTCTAACAATGCTAGAGGAAATCAAAATCAATGTCATGGCTAGGATTTATTATTTGGCTGACAAAGCTTCTACATGGACAACTAAATCTTGTCCAACTATCATTAGATAAAATGAAGGAGTCTGGAAAATAGATGAGGTAATTACTTACCATTAAGTTGTTACTACTTACCATTAATTTCTTCTTTAAACTTAACATGAAATTGTTATTTTTTATTTTATTTGTAGGAACTTGAAAGTGATAGCTACTGGAGGGCTTGTATTTGAGACAAGGTATGGGTATGCAGCTTACAAAGTGGATTTAGAATAATACTTTTGTACATGTAGACTATAGGAGATATCTAGAATACCATGTGTGCATGGTCGAGCAGCAATAACTACACTCATATGAATCCAACTGATTTTCTAAGCATTTGGTTCCAAAAAGAGAAATTTATCGTTGCATATACCACAAATATATCACCACTGAATGGAAGCAACATAAGGGTACTCACTAACTATATAAAGCCATTACCTCCATTGATAAGAAGAATGCCTGGTAGGCCAAAAACCAAGAGAGGTTGGAGAAGGATCCTCAAATCAAGTAACCATTAAAGCAAGTACAATGGCTGAAAATGTTCATGCAACTACACATGGCCAATCTTATGAATCAAGAACACTAGAAGAAAATGAATTTGTATAGGAAAGTGGAGATGATGTTCAAGCAAGTGAAAATGAAACTACAGATGCTGCTATTAAGGAAACTATACAAGAGGATGTTCATTATCAGGAAACCTCAGATGAAATGTTTTATCCCCCCCCCCCCTCAAAAAAATACAGTCGAACCTCCAATCATTCCTTACAATGATGATGTATTGATGTTGCAGGAATGTGGTTATGAACCTCATCAAATTGCACAGGATTTGGAAAGGATAAATGGGATGCATGAACCCGTGTCACCAGTGGAAATGTTATGCCAAACTCTATTTTTAATTTCTTAAAACTGCCTCAATTATGTTTTAATTCTTAAATTCATCATATGATACAGGATGTAAATGTTAATGAGATTGAAGATCACTTGGAAGCAGACTTAGAAGAGGATGTTAACCTTTACTTTAAATTTCTTATAATTAATATGTGATTTAAAAAGGGTAATTAACTGCATCATGTCTTACAGGGTGTAGATGTTAATGAGATTGAAAATTACTTGGAAGCAGAATGGGATGTCATACACGACCTTGTGCCACTAGTGCAAAGGGAAGTTGCTATACAAGATTTAGATGCTAATGCTTGGGTTAGTGAAGATTATGAGGAAACTAATGGGGAGAATGACTTCATTGAAGATACACAAGTTGTTGGGAGTCCTAGGAAAATGAAGATTTATGAGAAGATTGTGAAGATCAAGATGAAGAAAGCAGTTTATGATAAGGATGGACGGGGTTCTAGTATTAAGAAACCAGTTAATTTGGAGTAGGACTATTTAGAAGGGGGTATCATGGGCACTATGTATTTTGCTTGCTGTTTTTTTAACATTGCATCGGCTTTTGGTAAGAACCATCCAATTGTATATCAGCATCTAGTAGTATTCAGTTAGGCCTTTTTAAACATTGGTAGTTAATGGCCATTTGAAAGATTGTTGGGCAATTGGAAGTTTGGATTTGATTGTAATACCCGTTTTATATTATTAAGAATGCAAGTATTTAAAGTACATGCCTTTGCTTGTCATTTCATTTTCTTACAATCATAAGTTAATTGTCATTCCAGTTGATGTCCTTTACTTGCTTACATAAATTTTAGTACATTACCATAACTACATTGTAATGAATCACTATAATGCAATACCAAATCACATTGGTCATCCTTTTATGTTATTAATAATGCAAAATTTTAAAGTATGTGCCTTTGCTTATCATTTCACTTGCTTAAATCATAAGTTAATTGTTATTCCAGTTAATGTCCTTTACTTGCTTACACAAGTTTTAGTACACTACCATAACTACATTGTAATGAATCACTATAATGCAATACCAAATCACATGGGTCATAAATTAGATTGGATTACCATCAAGATAATTTTACATAAACATTACATTCCAAAATCAAAAATTAACCAACTAGTTCTTACGTCAAACCAAACTAACAAACCTACAACATCCTTACAACAGCTACTTTTACTGCAATGCCTTAACCCTACCAGAATACAAAAAATTACAACCGCCTTAACCTATGGGAATGCTTTAAAATACAATGCCAATTATAAGAATTACTCCAATAATCTCCAACATCACCAAAACAAACTTCGGCAACATGATCACCTACAGTACACCATTGGTAACAATTTCGTTATAGGGTTCCCTTTCATTAGCATGAAACTCCAACTCGTCTGTGTCAAGCCACTTGAAATATTCACACCCTTTTTTGATACCTTACCAACAAAATCTTCATTTAATAACTTTTGAAAAATACGAAGGGGTCATCTTTGCCCTATTGGATGATTCAATCTCGGGGTCTTCGTTGAAAAATACGAAGGGGCTTCCGTTGAGATATACCTTCGTTCCAAAAAAAATAACTTTTGAAAGTAACAAAATGGGAAAACGAAAATCCCTTAATTTTACCTTATAGTTAGGGCATGCCTTGAACTTTCTTCATGGGTTTTTATCGGTTCTTGAAACTGAGTATTGAAGTTGATCACCACAATCACACTTGGTGTGTTAAATCGGTTTGATGATAGAAGATGTTGAAGACGAATCCAAGGAGAAGAAGACGACCGATGTGTGAGGAAGAACACCGAACCAAGAGTGAATGAGAGGTTTTGGGGCAAATAACGATTTTGGGTATGTAAAGAGGTAGGGTTACTTGCTAAATCGATGACACCGGCTAGCTTTGACTTTTCATACACAGTCAACACAATTAATGGCAAATAAGTAACAAAAAAAACATTGGGGTTAAGTCAAAACGAAGATGTATAAATAATGGTTTTTAAGGTATTAATTCTATTAAAGACTACCTACTAAGATACCAAGAAACAAAAACATCATGCACCAAACAACAAAAGTTTATAAGTGCTTACATCCACCTAAAAAGAGAACATACCAAACAACCAATTACAATTTACTAAACTACTTATGTGTTTAATCCATCTATATACTAATGAAACTATGACATCAATTGTTTTTTGTTGGAGAAGAATTAGATTGTTGTAAAACTTTATTGTTTATTGACTTCCAAATACACTAAAGAGCCATGTAAGCAATGGTAATGAAAATTTTTCTTATTTTTTTAGCAATCCCCTGATTAGCTACATAATTGATACAATCTTCCACTCTAGTAAATAAACGCAATCTCCTGATTAGCTACATATTTGATACAATCTTCCACTCTAGTAAATAAACGAGAAAGTGTTTTTTTGTCTCATTTCTCACATAAACACTTATTTATATATACCATCTTCTAACTAAGGCATAGTATAATAAGGATAATGAGGATTGCTGATTTATCCTTATCATATTATAATATCTTATTTTTGTTTTGTTGAAATCTTTATGCTTATGAGTCCTATATTTAAAGGGATTCTCATGTATAAATATTAAAGTCGATTAATGAGAAGATTGATTTTCCCGATTCCAAAACTTAATATAGTATCAGAGCGGGATTAAAACGATCCCGTAAAATACTCATTCGAAGATGACTCTACCTGTTATGCATCAACGCCTTCACAACCAATAGACTCCAACTCAGTCTACTATCTCCATGCATTCGAATAACCACGTCAATTACATGTAAACGACGTTCTCACATATTCGAACTATGGAGATTAGGCACAGGAGATGGAAAATTTCCTCTTTGCAAAGAACAAAATTGGTTTCGTTAAAGTTAATTAATGAGAATATTCGGCCCATGACCCGACAAGAATGTGTTTTTATCAAAGACTTTTTTTATATATATTTTATACGGGAGTCACAAAATGGTGAGCTCCGCCCACATTGTGAGTTCCTCTGGATCCACTTGCGAATTCCTTTCAAAAAATTTAATTTTATAATTTTTATTTTCCCAATAAAATATGTAAGTTTGACTATGATTTCGTTCCTTTTGATTATGAAATATGATATTTTTTAGGTAGACTTCTTACCGATATGGATGAATATTAGTGCTGGGAATTCGATGATTCAAGATGCTTCGTAGTGTCTTCCATACAATATTTTTAGATAGTAATTCTTTTATGGCTAAAGAATTACTATTCAAAGTCAACATTCATGCTTAGACATGATTGCATTCGCATGATCGCATCTTTGCCTGTTTGTGAATTATCAATCCGAATGGGTAATATTTTTTATGTGTTTGTAACATGGCTAAAAGTGTGTGGTTGAAGGTTAGACAATGGTGGAGAATTGTTGATTTGCCTCTTACTAATATGGTAACTTTTATTGGCTGGTTAGATGCTGTTATTGCTTTAGGATTTGCTGAATTACCCAATAAACGGTTTGACATGGTTGTCCCTTTTTTTCATCTTTTTTACTCGGTTACTTTGGGGTCTTATGCTTGGCTTACATCTCATTGTATCAAAATTAAAAGTTCTTGATCGGAATGATTAAAATAACCAAATCTATTTCCTTAATAATTAGACTCTTGCTCCTTTAATAAAATATTTTGGCTAAAAAAAAAAAAAAAATTATGTACTTTAGTAGTTTTGTTTCACTATTATGGCTTGTGCCTTGTGTGGTATGGAGAGTGACCTTAGAACTTATAAGTTCACAAGAGTACTGTGATTCCCTTGACAACTAAAAGGCGTAAAGATGGGTGGGAAAGAAAAAGGAAAAAGAGAAGAAAGTAAAAAAAAAAGAAATTGTTAGTTCTTAGTCAATTATGCTTTGTTACTTTACTAGTTTTCAAAATAGGATCGCAAAAAAGTAACAAAAACAAAGTAAACGTATATTATTTTGTAAGTTTGTAGTCAAGCATGTACACAAGTTTTAGAGTCGAATCTATTTTTTATTTTAATAGACAGGTGAAAAAACTTACATGTGACAAATAAAATAGTTTCTCTCTAAAGGCTTAATTTGAGATATAAGTTTCAATAAATCGATTACATCAATAAAATGTGTAAAATCTATATGGTATGGTAAAATATTTTTATAACGATGAATCTGACATGGGAAGTGATTGTTTTTTAAACGGCAAACTATCTACACCAACTCTTAAATATCATTTATGTCTTCTAAAAGACTTGAACACATGATTTCTCATTAGTAATATGATTTTTACATTAATCGAGATTATGAATTTATTAGCAATGATTTTAATGGAAAAATGAGTAACTCCAATTTTTCTTAATTAAATGTTAATAATGTCAATGAGAAATAATAGAATTGGACATCATTATAAAATAAAATATCGTAAAATTAAAATATAAACATATCGGAAATCACTTGCAATTCTGTAGATAGTTTTATTAGGTTGTTTGAAATTGAGTTTGAAAAATAAATTATTTATTAATTTTCAAATAGTCAATAAGTCTAAAAATATACGAAAACTAATGTTTGAAAATAATATTTTAAAACACTTAAAAAATTATTTTTCAAAGCTATATTTTTTTAACTTTTTAAATCAATTTATAGTTTAATAGATTAAAAAGACAATAAATTAGCTTAAATGTGTAAATATTTCCGTTTTTATTATATATATATATATATATATATATATATATATATATATATATATATATATATATATATATATATATATATATAAAAGCTTATGTTATTGTATTCTAACTAATTATTGTGTAGATGTATGAATGATTGTAAACCAATCATTTTAGTTATTTAAAAAAAATCGTTTATTCATATTATTAAATTAAAAAAATAGAATAATATTATTTAATTAAAAAAAGATAAAATTATACATTTCCGTTACTTTCAAATTAGGAAGCACAAATTTAAACAAAATGGATTTGAAGGAATTTATTATTATCTTAATTTTGAATTCTATTTTTTTTTAATTAACATAAATTTAAAAATGAAAATTGCAGATTTTAGGAAATAATTAATTTTCTTAACTTTAAAAATCTAATTTTTCTTGATAATAAACTATATTAATTCGGACATTCTAATAGAATGTTTTTATGAGTATTGAAAAAACATTCTATTCTGACATAATACTATAAACATATATTATCATATATAATAATTTTTAATGAATACACATTTTATAAACGAAATTTAATATTTTAGAATCAATAATTGCATACATTTTAAAAAATACAACTATGAACATAAATTATATTCCTTCTTAAAGAATACAACTAATAGTGGTTAATAATTACATTTATTCTTAAAGGAATAAAAGTAAGAATGGTTAAAAATCAAATAAAAACATTAAAATCTAAAGTAAAACACTAATACATTCTAAAAGAATATTATTCTTAATGCATTATGACCGAATAACAAATCCACTCTGAACGAATAACAAATCCAT